ATAAAAATATTTTCCACGTCACTTTTCAACATTCACATTAGCCATACATATTTAACTATCACGAAGCCTATTCATCCAACTTGTCACACTGTATCGTAAGCGTTTATGATTACGAGTGTTCAATTATGAGTACTGTGATATATAACCTAAAAAAGACATCCAGCTCAGTACTCTCGTACAACAGATATCACGATTGTATGAGCAGCATAACTATTAAAGTTTCTCCAACACAATGATATAACACTAGCACTTAATGTAACTATTCATAGGATCTGACGACATGAAATAAAATTTGAAAGTGTCTTCCGAGAGAAAAACGCACGCCATTACTCGTCAAATGGTCGAATATTGCAGCACAAATTCATACCTAACACATTACTGTAGTTAATCCTAATCTAAATAACAAGCAGTTTCAGCAAACATACAACTTCTTGAAAACTAACGATTAACGCAAAACCAACGCTAAAAAATTCACTTTTATCACATCTAAACCGGCTCAAATCCAACAAAATTCAAGATGGACGCCCACCCTTTTACTACTACGAGTTCTTTCATTCGAATACTCATTCAATTCGATTCCAAATGTTTGTAATCGATAGATCGATATGAAAATATCTAAGCGATTTTATATACCATAGAAAGAGTAATTTTATTAATATTTATAATCAAAAAGAATAAAATTAATTTTAATTTTTTAACAAAAAATTAATTAATGACTCATGACATTTTTTATGTAAAATAACGTTATCCCTAACGTTACATTACCGGTATTGATACAAAATTTTAATTAATATTTTATAATAATAATTTTTTTTTATTAATATTTAAATTAATCAATATTAATTATTTAGTTCATTTACTAACAATATTAAATCTTGAATTAATTATATAAAAATGTTTCTAGTTGGATATGGCGCAAGTACACTATGCGGGAAATTGACCGAGACGAAGCATGCGCTAGATCGCACACCGAAAATAATCCTGAGCCCCGATTACGGTAATTTCGTATCGCAGAATCGAAGAAGCGCGTCTGGATTGGACACGTTAAAAATTACCGTAATCGGGACTCTGTCTCCATGCACCGAAGTATAGGCGACGACGCACGGGGTGGGGGAAGGAGAAAGTAACCGTAATGGTGTTCACACTAATACGTCTCGGCCAATTTTCCGCATAGTGTACATGCGCCAATAGAGACAAATCCAATCATAGAGAAAAGTAATACATAGGAAATAGAGAACCCTCTCTGTCAAATTTTTGAGCCTACTAATTGACAGCCTGGTGTTAAATTCGCTGTACTTAACCTACGTACGTAACGCTCACATACACACATAGTACACGCACACATACATACATAAAGTCCACGCACACATACACACAGTTCACGCACACATAGGCCCTCATAACCTTCAAAGAATTATTGTTTTTATGATGTACAATGTAGAATTTTTTCAAATCCATTATTTTGAAAATATTTATCTTTATGGTGTACGTATTGTATTATTTTCAAAACAATGGATTTGNTCGAGATATTTGTTTTTATTCGCAAACGAAATGTCTGAACAACGGCGACAATTTTATTTCGATTCAAATTTATTCCTAACGCTCGATTTATTGTGGGCAAAAGAAGGAGTGCGCTGCCCGCCCGTTGCCCGCTCCCGCGCCGCTGTTTTCGAGAACCGGTCTATTTGATTTTACGCATAAGATCCTGCCACTCCCGCGCCGCCGCCGCTCCCGCCCCGCTGCCCGCTAAACTCGAGGCTGAGGCCTTACGTCTCGGCCAATTTTCCGCATAGTGTACTTGCGCCAATAGAGACAAATCCAATGAGATTTGTCTTTAGTTTGTGCCACAGATTAGATGGTTTGTGCTCAAGAGCTTAAAATGATGTCAAGGTTTTGTGGCGTAGAGGGATAAAAATCGTTTTAGTGCTCGGCCGTTGGCGCTTCTGTAGAATAAGGTACCTACTGCTGTCGTCATTGAATAAAATATTTTTGATTTTGATTTGCTAGTGGTTCTGTTTACGACAGTGGCGCCAACTGGTGAGCGGTGAAGCGGTAGGACTATCGCATAATAAAATTTGCACTCATCAAGATGGCGCCACTGTGGAGCAGGGTCATGTGGCGCCATAAACGATAGCCCTCATTGGGGAATGTATTGTAATAAATGAACGCCGCGGGTCTCCAGCGCGTTTATACAGGGATGTTAGGTAAATGGTATACAGTAACAGGGTACAATGGTATATGATTTCAATCCTCGCCATATTTAGGGAGTTGATTATGTAGCTTATTCTGTGCACGAATCAGTAAAAAAATTGAGTTCGAAAAAAATCAAAAACGAACTTTAACTTTAGTTAGTCAAAGAAAAATACCTATTTACATTTACCTACTTTACGTGGCTTCCTTCAGTAGGCTATCAGACATGATAAACGAGCGATCCGCGTAGCTCGTGATGCCGCAGTGTAAACGTATCGCAATATTGTTGATTTTAATAGGATATAGGATTGATGTCGCACAGAAAATACTCGCAATAAATTCCACTTTCATTTGTATTTTTTTTTGTGGTTAATGCGTATATATTATACAAGTCATAATAGATCACCTAAAGAAATACAATGGCGAGGATGGAAATCAACACCTGTATACAACCGACACAAGCCTGTTTTAACGCTTTCAAGTAGTATGGACCATACTCGAATTCTGACTGTACCATACTGTATGGTACAGTCAGAATTCGATATCATCATTTTTGAAAAATATATTCTCATACAAATCTGGTCCTAAAAATAAAAGGGACAATATTATTTGATCCTCTAAAAACTAATTGATCTTTTTTGTATGTGCACTTTTAAAAATAAATGATGTTTTTTAATATATTTTATCTTTATATTAATTATTGGGTCTATATTAGTTGATCTACGGATAAATTATGAATGATCTTCATTAAAGGTAACATAATATTTANTTAAATGATGGATAAGAAAACAAGAATGCATTTAACATAACAAAAACAAAACCGGCCATTTTGGAGGAAAAACCACAGATTAGAGAGTATGGGAAAAACAAAGTTGCCATATGTTAAATAGTAATTTCTACTACTCTATTATGTAAATTATAACAAAAATGTTAATGTTCAGTTTTAAATTAAAACAAATTAATTTCATTTAAAAAAAGTTTTCACATTGTAATTAACAATATTCTCAAATATATTTTAATTAAGAAAAAAAATGAAAATATGAAGAAAACACGAGCAGCGACATCTAGACCGTTTTAGAGTAGTTAAAAAGTATTTGAATTTATTCACCGATGTCGCTGTTTGGAAGCAAGTTTCACTTCAATGACCGTTGTATGGAAGTTTCCATACCCTGAATCCAATAATAAGATTTGTCTTTAGTTTGTGCCACAGATTAGATGGTTTGTGCTCAAGAGTTTAAAAATAAATTAAAGTTCAGCGGGACAGTCCATCCCAAAAAAAAAAAAAATTAAAGTTCCAAAATTGTGACAGTGGGGCGCCACCGTCAATAGCGGATCGCTGGTTCAGATTTTTGTCATGTTGGAAACCATATAAAAATCGTTCTAAAGCTTGGCCGTTGGCGCCTCTGTAGAATAAGGTACTGTCGTCATTGAATAAAATATTTTTTATTTTGATTTGCTAGTGGTTCTGTTTACGACAGTGGCGCCAACTAGTGAGCGGTGAAGCGGTAGGACTATCGCATAATTTGCACTCATCAGGATGGCGCCACTGTAGAGCAAGGTCATGTGGCGCCATGCGCCAGTTAATAAACGATAGCACTCATTGGGGAATGTATTGTAATGAACGCCGCTGGTAAATGGTATACAGGGTGTTGATTTCAATCCTCGCCATATTTAGGGAGTTGATTATGTAGCTTATTCTGATCACGAATCAGTAAAAAAAATTGAGTGCGAAAAAAATGTAAAACGAACTTTAACTTTAGTTAGTCAAAGAAAAATACCTATTGACATTACCTACTTTACGTGGCTTCCTTCAGTAGGCTATCCGACATGATAAACGAGCGATCCGCGTAGCTCGTGATGATGCCGCAGTGTAAACGTATCGCAATATTGTTGATATTAATAGGATTGATGTCGCACAGAAAATACTCGCAAAAAATTCCACTTTCATTTGTATTTTTTTTTGTGGTTAATGCGTATACAAGTCATAATAGATCACCTAAATTACAATGGCGAGGATTTAAATCAACACCCTGTATACAGCCGACACCAGCCTGTGTTTTAACGCTTTCAAGTAGTATGGTATAGTTCCAAAATACTGGACTGTCCTGTCGATGACATTGACAGTGGGGCGCCACCGTCAATACCGGATCGCTGGTTCAGATTTTTGCCATGTTGGAAACCATATAGTTGAACGATGGTAGCGCCCCCCTGTCATTGAGTTTGGCGGGACAGTTCAGCCTGAGTCATCTATAAAGTCAGAATGTTTTTATTGATAGACGTTATTTTTTAAAGGAAATCTTTGTAGTTTTTTTTTTTTTTTTTTTTTTTCAAAAATGAAGGAATGTTTTCTTTGAGTAAAATTTTCTATCTACAGAATTAAGAGTTACTTTCTCTCCAGGTGGCATTACAAAATTCCACCCTATATAGGGTATAGTATAAAAACAGTAGACGAACATGCACTTACCCAAAAGATAACAAAGTTTGAGATTTCGTAGTAGTAAATTCATGCTTTCAAAATACAAATTTTGAAGTTATGAAAACCAATTATCATTATTACTTCCGAAAAAGAGAAAACTATTCACAAGAATGCATATAACAGACATATCATAATTGAAATTCACATTAACACTTCTAAGCTTAATTAAAACCTTTCAAAGTAATATTTAATTTTATGACTTGTGTGACGTGTTGGTTTTGGAATCTTGAATAAAACATTGTTTTCTGATAAGCAATGTAATATAATTCAGAGCATAAATATGTTTATTGGGTACTTAAAAATATAAATAAAATAGTTTATTGCTAATATGAAATCAGAATTATTTAAAACTACATTGTAACTGAAGTTAACGAAAATATAGATTCAAACACATACTTGCTGGACAACTAATAAAGACGTATTATTTGACATGTGGGTGATAGGCTGCTGATTATCGGCTCTTAGAGTAGTAATGGAGAAAGCGGATCCTACGAGGTAGGTCCCGGGGGCCGCACACAGAGCGCGTACTTGCACACGCCTAGACTCGAATTTCTCTAGACTAACGCTTACTCCCGTCTTTTTTTCATCGGCATCTAAAGCGTTACTCAATGCACCGGCCCAACCTAATTCTCCGAGAGCCTCTCTGAAAAAAGAAGTATATAAATAAACCAATGTGTTAAGTTCATTCAAAGGGTGTAGAAATTGTATGCCTTGAATTTAGCAGCCACCTCATATTCAAAGCTAATGGGGGATTTAGGTAAACAAGAAAAGGCAAACTAGCTTACCCTTGCATGTAATATGAAAATGTTAACAACTTTCAATTATTTTGAAGGCTTTGTTAATAAAAATATTTTTTACTTTGTAAACTTATAAAAAGTAACGTCATCATTACATACAAAAATCATGGCGACGCAACATCTGAACAGGTTTTTGTTAAAATGCCATTTATTACAAAAACCTAAGATTGCTAAAATATTAGCTTCCACCTTAGAAAACTACTAGTAGTAGGGAATTTAGTGCAATGATTTGTATGGAGACCCCTCCACTTTGGTATAGAAGGCTCATTTTTGCAACAGTGGTTCTATGGGTGCTCCTGAGTGGATTTCCGTCGGTAGACATCGGGAGCCCCCCCTGTGGTAGCAGGGGGAGGGGGGGCAAGTTTCCTTCCGCCGCGCTTCACTTTAAGGCCCATATCTTCAAAACTATGGGTATTAGGGCAAGTGTGGTATCATTTTCAGATAATAAAAGGATGGCGAATTCATTTCTAGAACAAACTTTTTGCCTTTACATACAAAAAAATAGAAATATTGAACAAAATTCACAAAAACCAAAAAGTATTTTTTTTAAATAAACGTCGTTTACTTTTAAACTACTAGAGATAATGTGATAAAAAAAATATAACCTGAAAGCTATATTTATCAGAATTATAAAAATATAACATTGTATGGTACTTTTTTCGCAAAAAGTAGGTGAAAAAAATTTTTTCTTCAGGACACAGCGGGCGAATTTTATTGCGCATCGGAAAAAAATATTTATTTTATCCATGAATTCATACTATTTGGTTCATAAACAAGCAAGGATTATTATTTTAGAATTTATTTAGAGTTGCTGGCACATCAATCTACCATGATTTGTAATTTTTCGTCAATTGATTTTGAACTCTATGTGTGAGACATAAGGTTGAAAATACATTAAATTCATTTTAATATAAAAAATATAAGAAGAAAGCACTAAATAAAGAACTTTAATTTGTCTAAACGTCTTAATGATTATTATTATATTAATTAACACTTTTATTTCTACATACTTTTGTACCAGTGATTTAACGGAAAGGTAAGTGTGAGTTAAATAAGGTTTCACAATCATAGTACGGGAGATATTTTTAGCACAAAGGTTACGGCTGTGACCGTTTTAGTTGTTTTTTTTCAGACAGCACCACACCAGCTTCTGCAGTACTTCTTGCACTTACATCTCACCATTTCCAGGCAAGCCTCGGCAGCTACGGGCAAACCGGTCCATGTAGGCTCCATGTTGCTATCGACTCTGGTCTACCCCCAACCAGTCGGGTAAAGGGAATACTGAGTCGGTTGCTTGCACCTGATCCTATACGCGAGTCCCTTGATATACTGCCAGTAGCCAATGCTGATACAAAGCTGCTGCTGCTGTCTGGGTTATCTTATGTAGGGCCTAAGCTAAGCTAGGTCTAAGCGTAGTCCACAGCGACGCTACGCTTAGACCTAGGCTAGACTCTATAGAGTCTTTATGCTCCCTTTTTTATTCCCTATCATCCAAAAAAATCCTATCCATTAGGTGAATTAAGCGTCTGAGTGAAAGCCATCTAACTAAAATTATCATCTAAGTCTTCTGATGCCGGATATGCTGACCCAAGCAGACCCATCCTTACAGAATTTATTCATGGACCCCACATGTATTCCACATGCTCGAGAGCTGTCTTCTGTTGTTAGGCCCATTTTGTGGGACATGTGGTTCGTTCCATAATGCCCAGTTTGCGTACCAGTAATTGCTTGGGCTTACCTTTTATTTCAGCTTAATGAGTTTTCTCCATGACCCTGTGTTTCCCTTTAGGAATGATTTGGAGAGGCTTATCTTATATCGTTGGAGCTTTCCCATTCAGCACTGTGCTTCTTGGATATGGCCATATTATAGCCATGAGGTATGCTGTTAGATAAAGGTAAGTATCAGTTCTGACCCAATAGGTATCGCCTCTGACCCTAGTTTCGCTAGACTGTCGGCTCTCCCATTGCATTTAATTTTGATCCGTGTATGTCCAGGTATCCCACATCACGGACACTTTTTCAAGCCTTCCGAGTTTGTTCATCTTTAAGATTGCATCTAGAATAATTCTAGACTCAAGCTTCACTGAGGCGATGGCTTTTTGTTTGAGTGCTGCCTGGCTGTGGATCAGGATGTAAATATTGCGTTTTTACACCCCTGTTCTTTAGTGCACACATAATTATAGCGTAGAATTCAGTTTGAAACACTGTAGCAAACCTCCTTAAGCGTTCACTATCTTTGAAGTGTTAACAGTAGACGCCCGTTGCCGTTCCCAAGGCCATCTTTGCAGTGGCGGCGTAAGTCCTAAGGCACCCCCTGGTAACCCCCACGATATTGAGGTTACCTACCGATTCCAAGATTGAAAGACAATGACATAGACCGCAGACTTGCTATGCAGATGCGCCAGTGAGTACTAATCTGTGCGACATGTGTCACCCCCTGATGCTTGGCACCCGGGGCGGACCGCCCCCACCACCTCCCCCTTACGCCGCAACTGCATCTTTGAGCTGTCAGTAAACCAGATTAGGCTGTTCTGTTGGGATTTTGGTCCTCTTTTCTAATCGTCCGTTGTTCAAGATCTATCCACTTACTTATTAGATCAATCCAAGGGGTTCGCGTATAGGATTAGTTGCAAGCAACGGACTCAGTCTTCCCTTTACCCGACTGGTTGGGGGTGGACCAGAGTCGATAGCAACATGGAGCCTACATGGACCGGTTTGCCCGTAGCTGCCGAGCCTTGCCTGGAAATGGTGAGATGTAAGTGCAAGAAGTAGTGCAGAAGCTGGTGTGGTGCTGTCTGAAAAATACAACTAAAACGGTCACAGCCGTAACCTTTGTGCTAAAAATATCTCTCGTACTATAATTGTGAAACCTCATTTTCCTCACACTTACCTTTCCGTTAAATTACTGGTACAATACTCGTAGTATGTAGAAATAAAAGTGTTAATTAAAATAATAATAATCATTAAGACGTTTAGACAAATTAAAGTTCTTTATTTAGTGCTTTCTTCTTATGATATTTTCGGTATTAAAATGTATTTAAGGTATTTTCAACCTTATGTCTCACACATAGAGTTCAAAATCAATTGACGAAAAAATACAAATCATGGTAGATTGATATGCTAGCAACTCTAAATAAATTCTAAAATAATAATCCTTGCTTGTTTATGAACCAAATAGTATGAATTCATGGATAAAATAAATATTTTTTTCCGATGCGCAATAAAATTCTCCCGCTGTGTCCTGAAGAAAAAATTTTTTTCACCTACTTTTCGCGAAAAAAGTACCATACAATGTTATATTTTTAGAATCCTCATAAATGTAGCTTTCAGGTCATATTTTTTTTATTAGATTATCTCTAGTGGTTTAANACTACTAGAATACAAATAAATTATTCTAAGTAACAAGAAGTCAACAATTCAATCAACATATTAAGCAAGACGATAAAATAAGTAGGACATAGTTTTATGAAACAATTTTTCAATAGGGTTATTTACTACTAAGTTTCATGGGATGATCACTTACCTGCTCTGTTGTTTAGACATATCTATGAATACTGTAACTGGAACTCCATAACAATTGACAATATTAATTGTTATTGGCACTAAACACAATTTTCTGTGTTTAAAATCATGTTGAATAGTATCACAGTGCTCTAAGCGGAAAATCACATTATCCTTCCGAACTTTTTGCTTAGGATCTTTCGTGTCCTTTTTGTTATCACCATCGTCGAGCTGCAAGGTTGGTAAATCTATCGAAATTGGATCTTTGTTCCGAGACACTGTTTTTGCAAAACATTCTAGCCACAAGCAATTCTGGCCAAAAGTAGATTTTCCATTAGATTTGTTAGTAGCTTTCCATCGTATAACAAACATCGACTGAATCAATCCTTGCCTTTGTTGTTCTTGACTGCCATCTGTGGTATCAAGGTAGGAAGGCTTGAAATCTGTTATAAAGTTATAGCACGACGCAAAACTGGAGTCAAGATTGGTAGAACCAACTTTAAGGCAAGTGTGTTCGACTTTTTCTTCCGGGAGCATTTCAAAAATCCTTCGACCGTTGAAAATGAGATGAAGTCTTTCATGAACAGCCAACGGGTTCACTTTATCCGCGACCTTCGTGAGGCCCGTCAACTTCCATTGTCTGCTCAGTAGTGACGCTTCCAACACTTCTACAACGACATTATCCTCTTTTTCGTTGCATATATTTTTTAACTCAACAGCCAAAAACAAATTCTCAAGAACTTCACCGTCGAACGTTTTTAAGCTTCGGCGGGGCGTAACCGACACCTCCACCGCTTCCTGTGAGCAATCAAAAATGTCACATTAGAAGAGTAAACAAATAATCTATCTATTATATTAACTATTATCTATATAAATAAAAATGAATTGTTGTTCGTTAGTCTGATTAAAACTCGAGAACGGCTGGGCCGATTGAGCTGATTTTGGTTTTAAAATGTTTGTCGTAGTCCAGGGTAGGTCTAAACGGTGAGCAAATACGCGCGCGATATTGTTTTTCTGTGACAGACAAAATTCCACGCGGGCGAAGCCACGGGCGGAAAGCTAGTGTTAAATAAATATTCTTGGACATCATACACTGAGCCGTCCAGTAACCCAATCCACGTATTTTGCAACAGTCAAAATGTCGTTGACGTCCTTTTGAAAAACAGTTCTAAATCCATATTCACGTATCATTTCAATAGAACGATTACTTGATAGGATCGCAACTCAGCGATTTGTCATTTTTGACGTTTTCACTGGCATCCGATTAAACCTAANTCGTCTGCGAACACATTTTTTAATGACAACAATACAATGATATCAATGTATGACTTCAATGCATTGTCAACAAGTAGAGCAGCGTTTAAATACATATTTACGATACATTCGTTAGCTTCAACCAAATGTACACTACTGGACAAAGGCCTCCCCTAAGGATTTCCATAACGACCGGTCCTGCGCTGACCACATCCAGGTTCTTCTCTCTTCACCAGATTGTCGTTCTACCTAGTGGGGGGTCTGCCCAAGCTACAGTCTACCCTCTACCATTCCGGCCCGTGGCCGCCAATCGAGAACTTTTTTGCCCCAAAAGCTGTGTTGCCCCAAAAGAGTTGTGTGCCCCGCCCACTGCTACTTGATTTTTACATTGTTAATGGTAATTATGTTGGCTATATTGGTCAGGTTAGTTTTCCTGCGGATCTCTTCATTTCTGATTCGATCACACAGGGAAACCAAATTTTAGATACGTGAGGATGAAATTGTTCTTTTTCATGTTTTTTCAGTTAAATCCCGGCGGCGAAATTACAAGAATGGCTAAGTGTTATTTCTAACTCGAAATAAAGTCGCAAACTATAAAAGTGAAGTATCGGGGTCGACTAAACATAAGTACTTGTACAGAACACATCATGAAATATGTTTTACTAGGATTTGGATTAATATCTTAAGTTTTTACCATTGAACGGCGGTAGTTCCCGATACTTTTCGTCGTACAGCGCTTTGAAGTTATCGCCTGCATCCTCGGTTATCAGCGAGATGCAGTCCGGGTGCGACACCGCAATGTGTACGTTCTTCATGTCTACTGGACCCACATTTCTTAACTCCACATCTATGATCCTCAACTCGTTACCGATCGCTTCCGGCGACATTTCAGTGAAAGTCATCTGCAACGTCGAAGTAACAATTTTATTAATATGATGTAACATAATCTAAAGCCTGGTCCGTGAGCACGTAGAATTATGTCCAATGACCCCAAGCTGCATATCCTTGTCGCTCGCACGTAATTATGTTGCTGTCGCGCTCGCACACTCACTGCGGGCGCGCGTCGCACAGTCGCGACAGCAATATAATTACGCGCGAGCGATAAGGATGGGTAACTTGGGGTCATTGGACGGGATTCTACATGCTCACGGACCAGGCTTTACTAGTAAAGATATATAAATATAAATAAATAAATATNGTAGGATAGGTGAATACCGCGGAGGCACAATCCAATAGGCATAAAAAAGAAATCGAAACAAAATCGGGCGATTAATACGTGAGTATAGATGACCCACGCTGAACTGTCCCACCAAACTCAATGACAGGGGGGCGCTACCATCGTTCAACTATATGGTTTCCCCATGGGTTTCCAACATGGCAAAAATCGGAACCAGCGATCCGGTATTGACGGTGGCGCCCCACTGTCAATGTCATCGATAGGACAGTCCAGTATTTTGGAACTATACGAAAATTGACATTCAAATTGTTTGCATGTCGTTGAAGTTTTGATACGTGAATTGGGCCACAGTTCTAAATTTAAAACAAAGAAATCCCTATCGCACAGTAAATAAATAAATAAATAATAATAATCTTTGGACAATTTCACACAGCGCCAGCTAGCCCCAAAGTAAGCAACTTAATGCTTGTGTTATGGGTGCTAGCTTAACGGATATACTACTTATATACTTTTTTTTTTTTAAAGGCACCACGGTAAAGGCACCACGCGCGCTATACGTCGCGCGAAAGTCGGTCACGTAATGTGGCAACTCACGGCGACTTGCAGCCGGAACACGTGTCGCAGCAGGCGGTAGGGGCGCGCGGCGGCGCCGGTCTCGTAGTAGGCCAGCAGGCGCAGCGCGGGCGCGGCGGCGCGCGGCCGCAGCAGCAGGCGCAGGCGGCGGCACGCGGCGCGCGCCACCACGCCCGCCGCGCTCGACACGTGCCGCGCGCTCGCCGCTCGCCACGCCGCCGCGCGCGCTGCTCGCTCGTCTGCGAACACATTTTTTTAATGACAATAACGCGATGATAATGCAAATTCTACGCACGTTACGCAGTGGAATAATTGGATATTTGACACCATTTCCCAATAATTCTAAAGCACTACTTTTTAAAAAAGACACTTCCTTCTGGTCTTTAAAACTTAATTAATTTTTAATTACCTGTAAATTACGATTTTTGGTTGCATTATAATTGAAAAAAGTAGTTTCATTGAGTTGATAAAATTGTGACGTCACATGCTAGTATTGCCGTACAAAATCTATGGGAGTGTCGTTTTGACAGTTTTAAAAAGTACGTCAATTGATTGGTGGTGTCAAACTGCTCTGAAAGAATTTGTTTGAATAGCAAAAGAACGCAATGACCTCAATGCATTGTCAAGAAATAAAGCAGCGTTTAAATACATTCGAAATACGTGAGAACGAATGATCTTTTTCATGTTTTTCAGCTAAAGCCCTAATGAGGATTCGGCAACTTTACGAAATGGCTAAGTGTTACTGTTATTCTAACTCGAAATTAAATGAAAGTGAAATGAACACCTACAAACGAGTCGCAAACTATAAAAGTGAAGTATCGAGGTCGATTAATTATTCGTGCACTTTAAATACATACATTTCACTAGGATTTGGATTAATTAAGATAATATCTTAACTTTTTACCATTGAACGGCGGTAGTTCCCGATACTTTTCGTCGTACAGCGCTTTGAAGTTATCGCCTGCATCCTCGGTTATCAGCGAGATGCAGTCCGGGTGCGACACCGCAATGTGTACGTTCTTCATGTCTACCGGACCCACATTTCTTAACTCCACATCTATGATCCTCAACTCGTTACTGATCGCTTCCGGCGACATTTCAGTGAAAGTCATCTGCAACGTCGAAGTAACAATTTTATTTATATGATGTAACATAATCTACTAGTAAAGATATATCACAAAACATTATCTGCCTACCTGTAAACAAGGTGCTTCTGGAATAACTTTGATTTGAAGACGTTTGTCGACACTGTTTTGACTAGTAAGGTCAACTTTTCCTGAGATCATAGTACCATTACCAGTTTCATTGCCTCCTTCGCCAGCATTAATCAATCTGAAATTAAAATTTAAAATTATTACATGTCGTATCAATTTCATATTTTATCATTTGTGTACTACGATTTACTTACTTGTAAGCCAAGCCATGAATATTTATCTGTCCAACGCATAAAGGAGTTATAGTAAACGTCAAAACTTTCTCGCAGTCTCCTTCAAAAAGAACAGACTTGATTTTCTGTCCCACAATGACATTACTCTCTAGCGTACTCCCGGCGGCCACTACTGGCTCATTATTTAGCACTTCATGATCTATGTTCTGATCGTATTCTGGGTTAGAAATAAATTGCCACAGCAATTCCACATCTTTTAGGATTAACGATATCTTCAGAGGATTTCTCAGAGTGATTGCTATTTGGATTGGCTCTGAAATCAAAGTCGGTTTTCATAAGTTATTTTGCTAACTGGCTGACAAGACATTAGTAAACATAGTACGTCACAAGGAGCCATAATTTAATTATAAATAAAATATTTTTGTAACTCACCTCCTTTAGGCACTATAGGATTAGCATCAGTGCCCTCCACATACAGGTCGACCGTTGGTTTAAATATCATAGGTACACTGCCTTGTGCTACCTGTAGCAGCATTTCCTCCAGTTTGTGCCAGTATCGATCATCTTCTCCGGCCTATAGACAAATTAAAGTTAATTAAATATACTTACGTCTGTGACGCGGCAGTCTACAAGCACAGATTGGATGTGTAAACCAGACCTCCTAGGCAAAGTTAGTATCCGAAATCGCTTTACTTCGGCGTTTTTAATATGAAGTTGACTGACTGACTTTTCAAAGGTTGGCCTGACGTTGGCAGAATCACTGCATGGTGCTTTACGCGCTTTAGAGCAATAAAAAGGTTAATTAAACATTTTTGCATTTAATATTGCATATCAAATCAATTTTCTTTATCTTGCCTCATCATTTTGAAGGTTGAATTTTAATTAAAAAAAAGGCGAAGGTAAAAAAGGCCAAAAGGACCGGTACTCCTCACCATTCTCGATCCATTGTTGTTTGAACATTGGTGACGTAATATTGACGAGGACAGCGGCGGCGGCGGCAGGCGGGAGCGGATCTCCTCGCCGCTCGCGATCCATTACTGCCTGAACACTGGTGACGTCATACTGACCGGCGCGGCGGCGTCGTGCAGCGCGATGGAGGAGGCGGGCGCGCGGCCGGGCGCGGACAGCGGCGCGGGGCCCACGCACAGCACGGCCGTGGCGCCGCGGGCCAGCAGCGGCAGCGGCAGCGGCGGCAGGCGGAAGCGGAACTCCTCGCAGCTCTCGATCCATTGCTGTTCGAATGCAAAGCAATATAATGTGATCATGAGAAACTTGCATAAAGTTATAAGATGTGTAAAAAATCGTTTTTTTTTAATAGCTGCTGGTCGTACACACGCCCACACTGTTAACTATCCATTTACGTTTTTGCTCTCGCTCTAATCAAATGGCGATTCTTTGCAATAGAACGAGATGACATGACTTTCGATGGGCAGTTAACACTGTTGGCGATAGTACAGCACAAAAACTTTGGGAACGTTTGGCGGAAAAAAGCGCTTGTAAGCATAATGGCGATGGCTACGTTAGTTTGCGGCTAGGACACATTTCTAACTTCAAATTAGTGAGGTTTCATTCATTTTTTTAGCAGTGACAGCGTAGTAGCCATTTTGCTTCCAAGCGCTTTTTTCCGCCAAACGCCCCCATCAATGTGGGTGTCAACATGTCTATTTATTGAAAACTTTACAGGTTGTTGGCTGCAGAGTGAAGTAAACAACGCTGACGCATAATGACGATGAATGAATTAACACCGTATTTTGACTATCAAAACTGTGCTCAATAATTATAAAATGTTCTTACCTTTGAAACATACTGGTTTGCATGAATAAAATAAAAATTGTATGCAAGGATGTTTAAAAAAATAATAATCGTAATCTGTTTTATTTAATTTTACAAAAACAATAAATTGAAGCATGGACATGAACTTCAATATTTTTTCTTATTAAAAAGAAAAAATTACACATTAACTAAAAAATAAGGCAAAATGTATAATACTAATCTATTATAGTGTTACTAAATCTAATCTTTAATTAATTAAAAATATGGCAAAACATATAATACTAATATATTACAGTGTACTAAATTACTAATCAAAGCGGCGGATTGGCAGTGTCAATTACTTCCACTAACCTGATGTGCGAGGATGTACTCGCGCAGGAAGGCGTCCTGCTGGTGCGGCGGCTGGTGACTGGAAGGCGCGAGCGGCGCGGCCAGCCAGCTCACCGCGTCACCAGTTAACTTCAGCGCGCCCGCCAGCCGGCCCAGTGCGAACTGCACGTGGTCGGTGGAGAGACGCCAGCCGCTGTTTTGATAAACCTGTGAGAACAGTTTAAATGAAAGTCTCAAACTCTCAATACTAAACTTTTGTGTTGCAATCGATTTAAAAACCAGTCAATAAGCGTACAATAAGCGTCAAATAGTGACACCCAAAGTAGCCACTCTTGTAGCGGAGTTTTGGGCTGACACTGTATAGGTTTGTTCTCGACATAAAAAGAAGAAGAAGAAGTAGCCAAAAAGTTCGGTCCACGTCTGTAAAGAGTGGACTGTATATCGATAGGGCTGGTTTGTTAGCCGTTTAGAATTAGGTTTAAGTATCTACACGACGGTCCGAACGAGTAGTACGTGCTATGTATGGCTGGGGGCCCAAGCGAGTGTCTGGCGCGCTCGGCGGACGGCGCGCTGCTCGTGGTGGTGGGATTCCTCCCGCACGTCTCCTCCCGTGTCAAGACCGGTCCGCGACAACGTCTTTGTTACAATTGGAATAAGGTTGAGTTATCAACTAGCCACTTTGAGTGCCACGAAATATTTGACGCTGACGTTACATCCAGTTACGAGATCTACGGTAACGCATGGCTAGGAAACTAGCCTTGTAGTGGCCTATTTATTTACACTATAAAAAAAAGTCCAACCGCGCCCATACTCTCACGTCCATAAGACTGTGGCAACAGCTGTGCTGAAGGTATTACAGAGGCGTGGTTTTACGTTTGTGTTATAAAAGTAAACATACCTGATATGCTTGCTTATAACACCTATACGCGTGTTTCTTCTGCCCAGCCTTCGAAAATCTATGTCCTGCCAACACCATATGGAATGCATATTTTCTGCACATAGCTTTGGTCCCTGGCCCTGATAAGAAACATAGAGCCGCCTGTTCTAGCAACATAGCACTTCGGAGGTCACTATCCTCAGAAGTCATACGAATGAGCTGTTTTGCAGCTTCCCCAGGGAGTCCTGACCCACCCAGGCACAGAACTGATAATAGTGTTGCCCTTACTGCATACTGAACCATTCTGAAATAAGTATAAAAAATGGTTTAAAGTACACATAGTACATCTGTAGTGTAGCAAATAAAATCAATTTAATAGAATAGGCTAGTTTCCTAAAAAAATTTTTTTAGTCCGTCATGTTTAATATCAAAAAATATTCGACACATATATTTTTATTTGTCAATCTAACAAATAATTACATAGTTATGGTGCGTTGAAGTTCCGCACGACGTCACAACGTGCGGCACTTTTGTGCAAGCATTGTCGTCACGGGCCTCTTCTTATGAACTTTGGCGCGCTTTATCTCTTTAAATTTTCATTAGTTTGAAAAAGTGAAAAATACGTGTAGAGTATTTTTTGATAAGTTAACTGACGGACTAATTAAAACTCTTGCTTTTTGACCCAGGAAACATCCCTATTATATTACCTGCATGTATTTAGATAAGTTGTTATACTCTCTTCCATATATCCATGTGTTTTTCTATTAGACTCTCCTGACATGAAAGCGCTTATGGCGGCCATCTCAAGGGCTCCGGCATAACAAAGCCATGCACTGTCCGCGTAAAACTCTCTTTTTGCAGTGTGGTAGGCGTCGAATGCTCGCTGCCACTGTCCACACATAAACCAAAGGTCACCTAGTCGCCTTAATTGCAACTCGGGACAGTCATTTGTATATCTGGAAATTCAATATTCTTTAACATTGCAAACAAAAAAACAGGTTTTCGTATTTAAGCTGTAATATCTTACATGACTGTGTTATTTGCAGTAGTATTTCCAGTTTTTCCAGTACCAAACCACCTTTTAGTTGCAGAAAGTAATGACCGGCTTACCCCTTTTCTGTTTGCTACCTGAAAATTAATGTTTAATATTTTTATAAGACAATTTTAGATTATTTTAGGTATATTTATAAAATTACTCTTTCAAAATTCAAAACTAAATTCCACATGAGAGATTATACATTAAAAATTGTCTTAATTACAAACCAGAATAAAACAATAATACTTACAACTTCAGAAAGTAGAGAAATCTGTTTTTCTAAATAGGGCAACAATGCTTTTGAAGCATATTCAACCAGGAATTTCTTAATGGCTTCAATGTCATTGGCATTTAAAGCAGCACCATGTACTTCAGATGAGTAATCAATAGCTTTTCCTGTCACACTCATGCTTTCTGAACTACCTGAGAAGGAATGTGTCTAAAAGAGATCATAAATGTTTATTATTATAACATTATTATAACAGTTTCATAATGCAGTAGACCACATGGACAGCGTTTTTAAGATTTATTTATATTAATTAAGCTATATTTCAGGTTAGGGTTGTTAGGAGTGATTAAGTCTAAAGGCGTGTGTCATTTGGATTACCAACCTGTAAACTGTTAGCATTATCATACACATCACTTTCTGTAAGTGGATGTGAAGTATCTTGATTGGAAGATGTCAGGATGTTACTGTCATCAGCTAGAAAAAAACAATTAATTAATTGAATAACAAATCATTTCAAGAAATGCTGATGGTTCTTTGTTATTTGCCCTCTTAGATTAATAACACCTTTGCCCTATAGAATTAAGTTTAACTTACATTGTATAGCTGGAACAGACTGGTTTAGAGGTGTCTGGGCTTCCAGTGGTGTAGTAGGAAGATTAGATGTTGCTGATGCCATTTCATTCTAAAAAAAATTCAATGAAAATGTATATGACCAATTACTTTAAATAACTTTTTGACAATTTATAAAGCAATTACAGTCAAACAGATTATCATAAAACCAAGCAAAACCTTGTGGAAAGATGAAAACTTACATTGGTTTCAGTTGTTCTAGTAATATACTGTGCCCAATAATCATTTGTTAAAGTTGGGTCTATGTTGCTCTTAGAATTTATAGACAGCATAAAACAATTGTTAGCACCAAATGTTTGTTTTACAGTTTCAAATACAGCATCAGCCCTGTAAAGATATAAGACACATTTTAAAACAATTAAGTACGTAAAAGTAAAAGATTTAAATATACCATTGTAGTATACATACTTATCCTTAGCCATACTTGAAACATCATGTAGAAGTAGATATGACTTCAAAACTCCATTGTTAAACCATTTAGGTAATTTAGGAGGTGTAATATTCTGAAGTTGAGCATATTGCTGGTTTAATGAATTAAAGCAATCAATTATGTTCTCATCCTGTGTTGAACCAACAATGATACATGACAAAAAATGTTTGGTAAATTCATGATCAGAAGGAAATTGCACTTCAAGATAAGTTTCTCTCCAAGCGTCAAACCATGGAGTTGCTTGGGAAACATCAAATTTTCGCCCATCTAGAAATTAGAATTAAAATTTAGACCATAATAAAGATACTTTACAGTAAAATTAATTATAGTATTTGTCTCACCTATATCAAGGGAAACGGTTTTATCGTTAAAATTGTGTAAAACAGCGTTGTTCAGCTGTCTTCTTGCATCAGTTGGTTGTAAAGGTTTCCAGTTCACATCTCTTATGATAAGTTTCCAAGATTTAACACTACATGAACTTCCTCCTGGTTCCCGAAATTGTCCTAAATTTGCATACATTAATGTTATTACATAAATAAAATAATTTCTTTAAAAAAGATTAAGAAAGGGAAATACTTTTACCTTCCCAGTCCAAAGTAGAAAACGGTTGTATTAGTTCTGGAAACGTGAGATTATTTTTGGACACTACGTTTTCCACTTTTGGACTGCATAATACAGCTACAATGGGCGAAAACGAGCTCTGAATGAATTCCTGAGCTGTTTTTCCAGCCTTAGCCATGATATCTCTTGAGACTATTGAGTACTCTACAACATTTTATAAACAACACTATTTATTTTCTAGATATATCTGTGACATAAAGCTATTTTTTCCACCTGAGACAATCAAAATAATATTTATTAAATTTAAAATACGAAAAACACGGAGTACGAGAATCGCGATAACACAAAAATGTCAAATGTCAATACTGTCAAACTTGTCAATATCATTATCTTTTTTTTTAAGTTTATGTTTTCACGGACTTGGAGCCACAATTAAAATTAAGATGACAATTTATTCAGCTTACAGGACAGGGTTGCTGTATGCGTTACCGCAGCGTAGCGGCCATGGTAACGGTGATCAAGATGTGCATTTTGATGTGCATACTGCATTTATGGAAAAGTTAGTGCCTTATATCCTGTAAATGTACCGCAAATCTAGAATTTGTGCCCAATAAGGTTTAGGATTCCGCTGCGGTAATGCTTGAAAACGTTACCGCAGCGGCATGATTTTTACCTATTAGCCAGCCACATTTAAAGTATCGTAACATTTCAAAAATAATGTTTTCTTTGAGTAAAATTGTATATCTACATTATTAAGAGTACTTTCCCTCCAGGTGGCATTACAAAATTCCAACCTGTATTATTTTGTGCCTTTCCATAGTCAAGCAGTGGCATTTTGTGCCCCCTGTAAGTATGCGGTAAAGTTCGGCATATGAATTAGATGGGTTTCTGTAAAAATCGAAAATAGCCTCTATAGATGACCCACGCTGAACTGTCCCGCCAAACTCAATGACAGGGGGGCGCTACCATCGTTCAACTATATGGTTTCCAACATGGCAAAAATCTGAATCAGCGATCCGGTATTGACGGTGGCGCCCCACTGTCAATGTCATCGACAGGACAGTCCAGTATTTTGGAACTATAGCTCTTCAACCGCTTAAGAAAGGCGCTGTCTGTGATTGCAGTGGCGGATGTCTATTAGAAATATTATGTATCTTCTGTGAAAATTTTGAAACCCTATGTCTAATCTTCGATGAAATAAATCAATTTTAATGGCTCACTTATTCCGAGCCTCAAAAAAAGGCAATATTTAAGAATCTGCTTTTCATTTAATCAATCTGCAGTGCGTGGCCAGCGTGGCCATGTCTCAAGAGACTTGAGAAACTGGGAATTATTAGCCCACAAAAGTGGCGCGAATGTTGTAAATGAAACTCTACTGAATTATGTGTGAAAGGATAGTGATATTATTAATAGAAACACATTAATTTCGTGTACTTCATGTTTAATGAAAAAGTCATTTTACAAAATTCTGATAAACCTACAATGAACAAATTACAAAAAAAAATAATATGAAAAAAATTACTCTTAAATGCATTACATAAAAATATTAATATCTCTCTATCTTATGTATCTTCTTAATATAAATCATCGATTCGATTAATTAAAATTAACATATACTAAAATTACCCAATAAATGAGAATAAAAAAGTATAATTTTAAGAAATAATCAGTTTTAAAATGTAGGTGGTTGACCAAAGTTAAGAAACTAAGGAGACACCAGGACAATATTTAATTTTGCTGTAATAACGTCGACAGATGTATAGAAAAACACAGCTGCTCATGTAACTACGTTAATAGATGTACTGTTGTTATAGAAGAAAGATCGAATGTCGGTCGGTATAGACAATTTGTTTGTAAATCTGCATGCAGAGCTCGGACTAAGGCGTAATAAATGTACATTTGTACCTATTATTATTGTGACAAACGAAATTAAATGTTTAATTTCAGTATTTCATAAACTTACAGCCTTATTACAAAAAGCTTACTAATGTAACAAATAGTATCTTGAAAAGTAAGTGATTATGCCACTTGATCCGATTGTAGATTGATAAAATTTTCTTTTTCAAATCAAGACCAATAATAATCTTGTTACAAAGCAGATTCCATAAACACATAATTATTTGGTCGTCAGTTAACCAGAACTGGATGGAACGAGCTAAATCATAATTTTATAATTTAAAAATGGTTAGTGATAGTACTCCTATTTACAAGTAATCTTTTGAGTGTCTGAGAAAACTGTTGTGGAACAGGAAATAATTCAAAACTAATTCATATAGCGCCAAATAAACTAATAATAACAATGAATACCATACTATCTAACATATCTATTTAATAAATTTCCTAATACTGAAGTACAATAAAAGTAACCAAAATAACTGCACTTATCGAAACAATAACATACATAATCTTAGCATGTTTAGCTATGAACTTATTAATACATTTTTTAACTTAAGTACTTTTTTATCGTTTATAAACAGAAAATAACTTTAATAATATCTGCCATAATCGAACACGGTGAAGAAATATTGTTTTAAGTAGATTTAAAATTAAATCAAAGTCATTATTTGCAACGTTGGAAATCAAAGCAAACATTCACAGGTCTATTCACCGAAAAATAACCTAAATTATTGGTATCGCATCTTCGTCTTCAGAGATTCAAGTCTTGGAATCGCATCGATCGCCCAAGCCGAGGGGGAGCGAGACGGAAAGCGCGGCAGTCGTTACGGTACACGTGCATACAGTCGCTATTCAAAGTTCGAGTGGAACATGTTAATGTTGAGGTCCTCGAAGGTGGTGGCGCCGCCCTGGTCCAGGATCTGCAGCATGTCGGACAGCTCGTGCGGCGCGTGCCCGCCCTCCGCCGCGCCCGCGCCCGCGCCGCCGCCCTGCCACGACCACATGCCTGGGGGACGAACTGACATTTTAAACACATACATTTTTGTTTCAATTTTGCCAACAGATCAACGTTTTAGCCTATTGGTTGACGCACTCTTTTCACCAGGAGAAAAAAGTTGGCAGATGTAAAAGAGAAAGTTCCGTAGTGGCCAGTAACGTGGTCGAAGAGTCCTAGCGTAATGAGCGTATGTATGTCACCTACAGCATTTATCCATTATTTGAGCAGACTTTCAAGTACAAATTGTGTAGAATAAAAAGTGTGTCACAATGCGGACGTGCGCTGGTTATCTAAAATAACTTCAACTTCATTGTGCGCACGCAAATAGACAAGTAAGTAAGTGAATAAAAACGTTTTATTGGTCTTATACGATGTTGTTTAGTTACTCGTTCGTTTGCAATTTACTAAATAAGGTTGTGGTAGTTAGATAATGTTGACGCACTAAACTTAGTTTCGAGCAACCCTCGCCCTCGTCTGACTTCCTTGAAGCATTCCGAAGTTTGAACACGCAGTATCTGGCTGAAACTTGGCTAACTACTGTATTTCGTCGAAGCGCCGAAGCGAGTCCATAATAAATAAATAACTTTGGTCAATTTTACGCAGCGCCATCTAGCCCCAAAGTAAGCAATTAACATGTTTGTCTTATATTATAGCGTTATAGGTGCTAGCTTAACTGATATACTACTTATATACTTTTTTAATACATACAATAATTATTATACATAATAACACCCAACCCCGTCACAGAAATCAAAATTCATCATTTCAATTTCTGGCCGGCCAGGAATCGAACCTCTCGGCATAGTAGTAGTCCGTTCTGAACCACTACACTAAACGGCTGATGTCGCTGAGGTAGAACAATCACAGTATTCTAGAAGTACATATTGTTAGGCTGGTTTTAGAGTCACGCTGACGCACGCTGACCATCAGCGCTGACAGCCGAGCGATCAGCGTCACTCAGGAACGTTCCCTCAGCGCCGACGATCAGCGAGTAGAGTTGCCAGGTCCAAAAACACAAAAGCCGGACTCTGTGCTTCATTTGGCCGGACATTTTACCCAATTAATGTAATATAGCTCACCAGACACCTGGCAACCCTAGTCGTGTATCCCGACAGTCGACTCGCCTGCGCTCGGCCACACGCTCGGCGCTCGCTCGTTTAAGAAATGTAAAAAGCCGGACAATCCGGACACGCAATCTAAAAGCCTAACTATGTCCGGCTTTAACCGGACGCCTGGCAACCCTATCAGCGAGCGGTTAGCGCGATTCTAAAGCTAAGCGTCCACTTGTCGGTATCGTACGCATCGGACGTATCGCACACAACGGATCGTAGTATTATTTATATGGAAACTCACATAAGTGCGTCCACCTGTCCGCATCGTACGCATCGCACATCCGATACGATGTGTTTCGTACGATACCGACAAGTAGACGCTTAGCTTTAAACCCGCCTTAGGTACTCACCATGCGTGGGATGCGTGGGATGCGCGGGGTGCGGGTGGTGGTTGTGCTGGTGGTAGTGCGCGGGCGGCAGGTAGGCGGGCGCGGGCGGCGAGCGCGCCGGGCTGCCGTCGGCGGGCGGCGCGGCCGTCGACCCCGCGCTCGTCTCGCCGCTGTACGCGTACGTCTCGCCGCCGGCGCCTCCGCCGCTCTGCGACGCAAAACAACACGTTATAGTGTGGCCGCTGGTATACCACCTCCACTAAATTTGAGTCAAGAACATCAACAATCCATCTCGGAAAGTACTCTCTCTGTCGGTAAGTAAACGGCCGCACTTTCGCTCAACCCTTTCAAATATACAGTAGGCAAGTACTGCGTATTTACAAAGGGTAAATAGAATAAGGGTAAAAAGAAAGAAAAAATTCCTAAAGTAAACATAAAAGTAACTATTTATGTACGTTTATCTAGACAATTTTATGCAGCTTACTATTTTAATTATTTTACCAATGGTCCGTGACCCTCACTCGGCATGGGGCACACTGAAAACCAGCGCCGTGGCCCTCGTCACCGTGAGCCACGGCATATGCTGAGTGGGGTCCCGTTGCAATGGGCATCTTGTTGGTGAATGGGTGGCACTGCTCAGTTTACTCTTGTTTTTATTTTTTCTTCTTTTATTATGTGCCACTGTCACGTCTATGTAATTGCCTGTATTTGTGTGATGTCCATTGTAATAAATGTATCTTTCTTTCTTTCTAAATTATTGACTACCTACTTAGGGGTCAATGAAACACCAAAAATAGTTTATCTTAGGTGCTTTTCTTACGCATCACAATTTATCTGACCTAGGAACAAACCATGAATCACTAAATAGAGAGTAGAACTACTTTTATTACATACGACTAACAACACGAAGGCGTAAAACTGACTATGCTGAGTATAATATTTTGTATATCTGAAAGTGTTGTGAATGCTTATACTAAAACGTTTGTTTTTATTTGTATAGAGAACAATAGTGTCTTGACAAACCTAAAGAGGATTTAGGACGCTATTTGGATTAAATATGTAATTGCTCAATAATCTACTATATAAAAATAAGTCGGGTTTTCCTCCCTGACGCTATAACTCCAGAACGCACGAACCGATTTCCACGGTTTTGCATTCGTTGGAAAGGTCTCGGGCTCCGTGAGGTTTATAGCAAAGAAAATTCAGGAAAAATTTAAAGGGGATAAAACGGGATCCACGCGTACGAAGTCGCGGGCGGCCGCTAGTGAATAATAAAATAAATAAAAACAATCAACTCACCGGGCGCAAAGTGGTCCACGTAGTATGCGGCGGCGTATTCGCGACGCGGTGCGGCGAGTAGTCGGGCGCGTAGTGCGGCGCGTAGGGCGGCGCCGCCACCGCCTCGCCCGGCGAGCGCGCGCCGCCCGCGCCGCCGCCCCCTGCCACACCCACAGGACAACCTGCTATGTTATTGCCTGACACACTTTATTATGCTGCTTATTCACAGCACTAGCCCAGAACACGTTCCCGATTCGGGACTCCCGAAGCAGTGGTTACGTTTTATCGGGATATGGTGCTTCTTTTAAATAAATTGCAAAAAACTGGCACAGTCAGCGTCAAATAGTTCGTAAAAAACTTGACAACACAACCTTATTCTAATTGTAATAAAGCGTGTAGCGAACTTTTTGGCTACTTTAGGTGTCACAAACTATTTGACGCTGACTGCACAAAGTAAATGGTCATGTCACACAGTCATCCTAAGAACAAAATGTTCGAAAATATCGGTTGTGCGCTAAATCAGTAAATGAGTAACGAGTTAAAGTACAATGGTATGAATCTGTTGCATGTCATGGATCACCTAAAGAATTACAGAGAAATACACTTGCGNTTTGCCAATAGATCAACGTTTTAGCCTATTGGTTGACGCACTCTTTTCACCAGGAGAAAAAAGTTGGCAGATGTAAAAGAGAAAGTTTCGTAGTGCCCAGTAACGTGGTCGAAGGCTGGTTTTAGTGTCACGCGGACTGTCAGTGCGGACCCGCTCCGCACGGCCAATCTGTATGAACTGCTAGGGAGCGAGCGGTTCCTCCGGACCGCATTACTCTAAAACGCTCCCTAGAAGTTCATACAGATTGGCCGTGCGGAGCGGGTCCGCACTGACAGTCCGCGTGACACTAAAACCAGCCGAAGAGTCCGAGCGTAATGTCCATAATTGAGCAGACTTTCAAGTACAAATTGTAGAATAAAAAGTGTGTCACAATGCGGACGTGCGCTGATTACCTAAAATAACTTCAATATGCGCACGCAAATAGACAAGTGAGTATGTGAAAAACGACGTTTTATTGGTCTTATTAGGTAGACGATGAGTGTTAGATTATATTTGTCGACTACAATCTTGGCGAGCTTCATGCCACGAAAGCTGTTCTCGCTCGTTCGCAATGGAGAAGTTTCCAATTTTTTTCTTTTAATATAAAACTTGAAAATAAGTAAAACTAATAATAATTGTAAAAGAATCATGAAAATATATCTACAAATAAAGAAGTTACAGGGCTCTAAAGTTGCGCATAACAAATATTTCACGCCATTTGATCGGTGACGTCACGGCACTCATTCGGAGTACAAATAGTGAATCACCCCTGGTCCAGTGCTGTTGACAGATCCTAGTTTTTTAAAAATCTAGTAGTTTTTAATTTTTAGCCGAAGCGAGTATGTGGCTGAAATATAACAATTACAGTATTATCAGGCCTGTTCATCTCCGCGAGTTTACATCGAAAACAAAACACGCACGATGGCCCACCTACAGGATACTATTCGACAAGGCCTCACGAGCGAACATTGACTCACGCACGCGTATTCTTGTGTATGATAGAAGAAAATAAAGAAAATGGTGTACTAAATACTGTGCAGTATTTAACTGCCTAAATAATAATAAAAACACAGAATGTAATTTTTTAAGTTGCCTCAAGACACTGATAGGTAAATAAGTAGTTAATATTATTTATGATAATTCATGCTAAATCATGTATTTCCTCCGCCATTTTCCGCAGTTAGGCACCTCACGTCACATCATTTTACCGAAGTCAGCCCTATAGCTTCGGCGCAGTGCCGATCACTGACGTTTGTCAACAAAATGGTACTTGGGTGGTTCTACTTTTAGAGTCCATCACAAAAATAAGGTTGTCCCCACAATAACGAAGGTTAATACTTAATACAAAATGAAGAAACTATCATTTATTTCATTTAAATAAAGTTAATAACACCTGTTTAGATTATCTAGTTACACTAAGTTTCAATTACAATTTAACTGTGTTAAAAAAATGACTTCAAACTTTTAAAACAAAGCTAAAACGGCATGTCCCCGTTAGGTGTTGCTTAGAACTATTACGTTTTTTAGAAATAATTTGTTGAAGCCACACAATTATTTTTAAATAAAAAGAGATATACATTGTTAAACATGGTAACTACAAAGTTTAATTTTATTTATCTGTAAAAATATATTTTTTTGGTGTGACGAAAGATTGTCCCGAAAATTGGAGTATCCATCGTCACGAACAGTCAAATATTAAAATAAGTTCTTAAAAAATACGTGAGTAGATCACGTTTTTTAGTAAAACGAAAGGCCATAGACCATAGAGTATAGAACGAAACTCAAATCAAGTGTTTAACATAGCCAGCTTGTCACTTCTTTTACATCAAGCACGAAAACGGGCGGCGTGTGTTTATTCGGCGTATCCTTAGTCACAGCGGTTTTTGGTATTTATTTAACGAATTTTAAATTGTTTTACTGTAAACATGATTTGTTTTTATGTAATCTTTAAGATAAAGTATAGTTTTCGATCCAAATTATCGTTATTTACGATTATTATTGATCTTTTTGGAAAATTGTATACTTCGTCACACGTATCCTTCGTAACAGGTGATCCTACATCTAAACGATGTGTCCTTTGTGCAGTTAGATAATATGTTAAGAATACTAAAAACACCTCAGAAAAAGGTATAAGAATTTTGTATTCGTTTAGTAAACCGTTTGTTGTAAAGTTGAAGCAGTTTTTGAAATTTTTTTTCCTTAATACTCTTAGTTTCAGTTCCTATTTGTGTAGGTTTTTGCTGATTTTCCTCATATTTTTCATCATCTATTTTAGTAATAAGCAAAGATATGCCTGTACTTAATGAAAAATGGCTGAGACACTCATTAGTTTTCAAGTTAGATTGATTATTAATTGTTAGATGTCTACTTCATCACATTTATGTCTCCTTCGTAACGAAGAGTTTGATCTCGTCCCCTAATAAATATTATCTCTTAAACAACAAAAATGAGAGTGTTAACTCTTTTTGTAACTCATTTTATGTCGTGTAATACTTGGTTTTTAGTGTGTAATACTACTTTTTCAATATAACTTTATAAAAGAGAAAAATTATAGATTTTTGTTAAGTTTTAAAGGTGTAAATGTGACGAAAGGGACAAACTGTTAATTTTTATGGAATTGTTACCTGATTAAATAACGATTAACTACCAATTGTCCAAGACTGATTTAAGCCGAGATTTTGTAATAATAAATGCAAATATCTATTGAAATTTCTTTTAATTTATCAAGTTTTAAACAACTGAATTTCGTGACGAAGGATACATCTTTTTCCATCTTAGTCGAGTAAAACGCAAAAAAATATAAGTTTTGATAAAAAACTGAGCTGCTGGTCTACAGATACCGAATCTATGGTAATTTTCCTACATTTCAGTCGTATGAAATGTACTAAATAGCTTTCTTTATATTTTTTCATGGTTAAGACCTTAAAAGTAGAACGACCCACTTGACTCTTGAGACAGGCTAAATTACACCATATTGTTAGTGACATTGAGCATACATTTTTTTAAATACCTTCGCGAAGTAAAACTTCTGTACGTAGTACTTATTTTATTATTCTGTGGTATTATCTAGATTCGAAAAGTACATATTGTTAGGTACTCACCATGCGTGGGATGCGTGGGATGCGCGGGGTGCGGGTGGTGGTTGTGCTGGTGGTAGTGCGCGGGCGGCAGGTAGGCGGGCGCGGGCGGCGAGCGCGCCGGGCTGCCGTCGGCGGGCGGCGCGGCCGTCGACCCCGCGCTCGTCTCGCCGCTGTACGCGTACGTCTCGCCGCCGGCGCCTCCGCCGCTCTGTAGCGTAAAACAACACGTTATAGTGTGGCCGCTGGTATACCACCTCCACGAAACTTGAGTCAAGAACATCAACAATACATCTCGGAAAGTACTCTCTCTCGGTAAGTAAACGGCCGCACTTTCGCTCAACCCTTTCAAATATACAGTAGGCAAGTACTGCGTATTTACAAAGGGTAAATAGAATAAGGGTAAAAAGAAAGAAAAAATTCCTAAAGTAAACATAAAAGTAACTATTTATGTACGTTTATCTAGACAATTTTATGCAGCTTACTATTTTAATTATTTTACCAATGGTCCGTGACCCTCACTCGGCATGGGGCATACTGAAAACCAGCGCCGTGGCCCTCGTCACCGTGGGCCACGGCATATGCTGAGTGAGGTCCCGTTGCAATGGGCATCTTGTTGGTGAATGGGTGGCACTGCACAGTTTACAGTTCACGTCTATGTAATTGCCTGTATTTGTGTGATGTCCATTGTAATAAATGTATCTTTCTTTCTTTCTAAATTATTGACTACCTACTTAGGGGTCAATGAAACACCAAAAATAGTTTATCTTAGGTGCTTTTCTTACGCATCACAATTTATCTGACCTAGGAACAAACCATGAATCACTAAATAGAGAGTAGAACTACTTTTATTACATACGACTAACAACACGAAGGCGTAAAACTGACTACGCCGAGTATAATATTTTGTATATCTGAAAGTGTTGTGAATGCTTATACTAAAACGTTGGTTTTTATTTGTATAGAGAACAATAGTGTCTTGACAAACCTAAAGAGGATTTAGGACGCTATTTGGATCAAATATGTAATTGCTCAATAATGAATTATAAATAAATAAAAATAAATAAAAACAATCAACTCACCGGGCGCAAAGTGGTCCACGTAGTATGCGGCGGCGTATTCGCTACGCGGTGCGGCGAGTAGTCTGGCGCGTAGTGCGGCGCGTAGGGCGGCGCCGCCACCGCCTCGCCCGGCGAGCGCGCGCCGCCCGCGCCGCCGCCCCCTGCCACACCCACAGGACAACCTGCTATGTTATTGCCTGACACACTTTATTATGCTGTTTATTCACAGCACTAGCCCAGAACACGTTCCCGATTCGGGACTCCCGAAGCAGTGGTTACGTTTTATTGGGAAAAGGTACTTATTTTAATTAACGGGCACAGTAGGCGTCAAATGGTTCGTAACACCCAAAGTCGCCAAAAAGTTAACAACACAACCTTAATAAAGACGTGAAACGAATTTTTTGGCTACTTTGGGTGTCACGAACTATTTGACGTCGACTGCACAAAGTAAATGGTCATGTCCACAGTCATCCTAAGAACAAAATGTTGTCAATATCAAATCAGTTACGAGTTTAAGATCAATAGTTTAATGATTCTGGTGCAGGTCATGGTCACCTGACCTAACGAATTACAGAGAAATATAATTTTGAACATTCAAAAATATTATAGATGCATCAGTAAAAAGGATGTTCAAGATAACATTACAATCTTGTGAATACAAAAAGGCATTAGGTAGGACTTCTAGGAAAATAATAACCAATATTTACCTGGAGGCGCATGGTGCTGCTGGTGCAACGCGGGCGGCGCGCCCTGGTACACGTCGCGGTGCCGCAAGTGGTAGTCGTAGCTCTCCTCGGCTGGCGGCTCGCCCGCCGTACTTCCTAACGACCGACTAAAACAAACAACCAATTTGTTAAAACGAGAATAAATAACCATTGATTTCAGCAATTTATTATTACATATGTATTCTTTTATGCATGCTATGAAATCATAAAGAAGCATAGATACTCACTTGGCCAAAGTATTTGTACAGACAATATACTCTACGTCATCGTTGTATGGATTTAAAAAGGCAAAAGCGGACGTTCTTAACCAGATAAATTCTCTGCTCTTCGCGCGAAATCTGTACATTAGGGATATAATCTGCCCCTTCAATTTAAGTACTGAAACAAAGAAAACAAACATTTGAATAGGTAATATTGATAGGATGCAATTATAAACAGGTGTTAAAGGCCCGATTCGGACATGCGCGATTTCTGGATGGTTCTTCATTAGCGTAACGAGGTACTGAGGCGGTAACCGTGCGGTTACAGTTTGATGCAAATGTCGTACTGCTGGACAAGGTCCTCCCCCAAGGATTTCCACAACGACCGGTCCTGTGCCGCCCGCATTCAGGCACCTCCCGCGCCCACTGCCACTTGATTTTAGCGATGCAAATGTACGAAAATTATATCTGTCTGAACCAGACTTAAATATTAGGTTTTGCGCGATGCTTCACAGAGTAATTAAGTATAGATACCTTGATCAAAGTTATCTCTCATGTGTTGCTGGTCTTCGGGATGGTAGAACTCATAGCAGAGTTTCCCCAGCAGGTCGGCGGGCGCGTATCCCACCACTTGCGTGGCGCGCTGGTCGGCGAACGTGAAGCGGCCGTCCACCGAGTGCCGCGACACGAACTCCACGCCGCTGCTGCACAGGCTGCCCTCCGAGTTGTTCGGTGTCGACGTCACCTGTGGGGATGACGGTTATATTGGGAGTCTAGTCACTCACTCACTGTCACTACTCGACCTTGGAATAATTACGGGGTAGCTAGATTTCAATGTGGGTTTTCGCGATTTAAAAATCTGCCAGATGGCAATACGTAGACGCGAGGTCCAAATGCTGCATGATTGGTTATTTTTGAAACCCCTCATTAAATGGATCAAGCGCTCGCCGTGTGGTTCCGGCAGGCCAGAGCAACTTTTTGCGTAGATATCGTAAGAGGCGACTAAGGGAAGGGAGGGAAATATACGACATCCTTAACCCGTAACTTGTCTAGCTATCGTAGGGAGTGTAGGACCATTCCTGCCTTTTGCCTCTGATATAGGGTTGATTAGAGAGAGTAGTCCTTCTGCAGTGGAGACTAAATGACCTGACGATGAAATTAAGCTTCACAAACCACCTTTTTAAGCCTCAATCCTAGAATCAATGAGGTCAGTGCAAGATTGAATTTGAAGTTATTATGGTCGAGTAGAGGTATGTGATGTAAATAGTTATTTTAGCATAAGAATTTTATATTTACCTGTAACCGACCAATAGCAACCAAACAACAGTGTGACGCGTGAAGCTCATCTTCGACCGGGCGATCCATCTGCATACCTGGAAACAGATCTAATGTCCCGAAATACATTATGATATTGTTCACGTGAAATTCAAATCTCGTGACACTGCATGCATTACTTGTTAAATATTTTATTTTGGAGATTCAACAGGTAGCCGACACCTTTGCAGTTGACATACTTTTTATCAGTTGACAAAACGCGAATCTCCCAAGATGTTGACGTCATTAGGTCGCGAACTGAATGAGGGTTCTCGCGATTGAAGGATACGCCAGATGGCGATACGTGGACGCGGGGTTCAGATGCTGCGTGATTGGTTATTTTTGACATGACATTGACAGATAATATGTCAAAATTCACCAATTACGCAGCGGTCGGACCCCACGTCCGCGTCCCGCCATCTGGCGGATTTTTCAATCGCGAAAACCCTCATTGACTGACAATATATTAATTTCTACTAAAAGCAGAATTTTATAGTCAAATTAAAAATTTAACCCTGCTAAAGGACTAGAATAGGACAAGTTGTCTTGGAAATTGTTGTCAACTACCTAGTTGAACTCGCGAAGATTATTCCAGCGATACAATACCTGTGGGGGGCCAGTTCTTGATGTAGCCGGTGCAGTGCACGACGGCGTAGTTGTGTCCGTCGTGCGAGGGCCCGAGCGAGTTGCGCGCGCGCAGGCGGCCCAGGTGCGCGCCCTCGGCCGAGCCGCCCACGCGCATGCGGCAGATGAAGCCGCGCCGAGACCCCATCACTTGGCGCATGGACGCTGCGGCAATCACCAAATCAATGTTTTCGAATGTGATCAGCTGCGTCCACACCGGGCTCATGGGATGCGGGGTGAGCAGGATGACAAGCGTGCCTATGCGCCCGGTGTGCACGCAGCTTTTATATTTCAAGGTTGAATAATTAGATAAAACAATTATAATTTATTTCTGTTCAATGCTTACACGAATATGTCGCAAAAAATTACCGTTCAAGATACAAACAACAACACTGTAGTAGGCAGTATTGAGTATTGAGTACACAGAAGGCAATTGGGCGTGGCTCTGAAGCCGCATGCTGCACGGAAGATCCGATACAACGCTTACTTTCAGCTACGCCCAATTGTCTTGGGTGATAGACGAGGTTAGTGTTTCATATGTTTTTTTTACATGTATTTTATTTTACACATTATGTTGGTCTAAATGTAAAAAACATAGGCTTAGAAAAAACAACAATGGGTTTAATACTAACATTGGTGACCTTCTTTTTTGACAGTCCCAGTCTTTAGATCCAGTATACGACCTGTATTCTGTGGTTCTTGAGTACTTAACTGCTCCCGAACTTTTTCAACATCATCAGGGTGTACTTGGTCATATAAACATGATGAATACCAGTCGCCCTGCAAACATGACATTATATGAAAATATTCTTTATAAGATTATAGGAGATCCATGAACATACCAAGTCTTATTTTACCTGTGAATAATTTAGAACTGGTGCTATACTATCGCTGACATAAATGATACGTCCTGTATCGCAGCTAACTACAAATAAAAAACCATCAGCAGCTTCAAGTATTAAATGTTTTAATTCCTGGTCAGTTAAAAATGATGGCTTGTATGTGCCATCTGTCGAGGTATTTCCAGTACCTGAAATAGACAAATGAAAGTTAATAAATGAAACAATTTGGAAGATTTAGATATTTCTATGTATAACTGCGTTTTTATTTACCCCTCAAAGCTTTCATATGGGCAACTGCCATACGAAGTATGGTTAGTTTGTCGGGTTTTCGCGCGAGGGCGGAGCATGTCGGAACCATATCAGATAGTTCCGTGATATATGCCGTCATCTTGTTTCTTCTGCGGCGCTCGATCTCGCAATGGTTCTCCCGACTGAAAAAAAAACACATCTCGCTTAATAACTCGTAAAACTGTAATGGCATATTGTTATGGTAAATGAAAACCATTTCGATACTCGAGAAAATAGACAAAATTAAGTAACATCAAACATTTTAAGTTAAAGGGGCCGCGCGTGTTGCGTGATAGATAAGACACGTTTTCAATCACACGGGTTACCGTTAACAATAGATATTGTCGTTATGGGAGAGGAAATAATGAGCTTGAATCAATTATGTATCTAAGTAACAACACACAAATCAAATATGATAGGGAGACATGTTTTAGACCTTTCATTGAACTGAAGGTTATTCCATTAAAGAATTTACGGGTGTTAGATAAAAAATAACGCAAACAAAAGACAAATTAGCACCTAAATATTGAATTTCGGACCTACCAACTAGTATATTAATTTACCAGACTACAATAAAAATCAAAGTAAAGCTATTATAATTTCACCATAAACATAAATATTTAAACAGGATTACTAATGTTTGGCCAAAAAACGTTTCCCAAATTATCACATGGCAAACAACGTTTCGCAAATTTTCATTTGGCAAATTCTCATTTGGCAAAACAACTTATTGCAAACTTTTAATTCGCAAATGTCTTTTTTGGCATATTATTGTTTAGCAAATTATTGTTTGGCAAAGTATGTTTTGCCAAATGTTTCATTTGGCAAAAATATTTCACGATAAACTATTTACAAAATAATTATTTTGGTGCATAGAATGGAATACAAATTAGCTTCTGGTTATTATTTTGTTTAGTGGGTAGTTAATATAAAATTTGTTCTAAATTTATTTTCATATTTCATTATTTTTATCGAAACTAAATGATTAATTAACAATAGAGGTGATTCTAGCGCTCGGCGGCCGCTGCCGCGGCACGCTTCGCTCGCCTTCGCGCGTTAAGGGTCACTGTTCTAACCTAACCTAACCTACTATTTTCTGCAAAACCTACTTTCGCATCCATACTATTTTCTGCAATCTCTTTGTTTAACATAAAATTCTTGTGAAAACCATGATCATTTGCCTTGTGCTTTAATTTGTGGGTAACGGTGGGTAAGCATGTGAAGTGTCAATTTGACCAAATAAATTATTTGGGATATAATATTTGGCAAAATAAAACATTTGCTATATAAACATTTGCCAAGTAAAATTTGACCAAATGATATTTTGACCAAATGAATTAGTTGCGAAAAGTACATTTGCTAAAAGTTCATTTGGGAAATGAAACTTTGGCGATAAGTTGTTTGCGAAGTGAAATTTGGCGAAAAGTAATTTGGCCAAACGGAAGGATACCATTTAAACATGGTATTGGTAACAGACAGGTGACAGAAAATCAGAGTTGTGGTTTTGCGTATCGGTATATTTATCTACCTGATGATTATAATACGTAGAAATAGTGCTCTAACTGCGTGTATTTTTGGCATTAGCTTAATTTGCAGAAATCGTAAAAGGTCTTATAAATAATTTCGAATACATATTAAAATGAAGGCCTGTAATGGGTGACACTACAGTTAAAGTAGTTAATTTATGTACCTTGCAAATCTCTCTTTGTCTTGAATATTGTCCTCCTCCATCCTTGTGTATTTCCCACCACTTGCGTCGTCTTCATCGGATCTATAAAAAAAAATTACATCATACATAGTTGTAAAAGACAAGGGACCTCATGAGACTAGTTGTGATCGTGAATAGTATGTGAACATAATTACATAGGTAATATTATTACGCTCCATTTATTTTATGGTTTGTTACATTTTACGTTTCAATAACAATATCAAAGTTAAGCGGTATGGGCGAATTTGGTGGCAACGCTTGCCTTGGCTTTCAATATGTTTTGTCAGTTGCATATATTTCCTCATTATCTCATGACCATCATCCTAATTTTGTCTAAGATTATTCAACTATGTATTATTCTTCAGAACATAATACTTAACAATTTTAAAGGATGACTGGCTATTCATGGCTAATGGAAAATACGAAAACTTAATTATGGTAACTTAGTTCCTCCTGTAAAACTAGCTTTTGCCCGCGGCATCACCCGCGTGAAATTTAGTTTGTCTTAGATCGTCATAAATTATAGCCTAAGTATATGTTATTCTGGGTTATAAACAATAATACTGTAAAGTTTCATCAAAGTCCGTTCAGTACTTTTTGCGTGAAAGAGTAACAAACATCCAGACATCCAAACTTTCGCATTTATAATATTAGTAGGATCATCTTAGTCAACAAAATAGATTTTATAATACATAATATAATTCCCCATTATAATAAAATATACTCATGAAATACGTATTAAATAAATAAATAAATATCTTTGGACATTTTACACTGCGCTTCTAGTCCCAAACTAAGCAAAGCTTGTACTATGGGTACTAGACAACGGATATAAACATACTTAAATACTTTTTTTTTTGTAAATACATACATATTATAAATAGAAAACACCCAGTCCAATACAAACAAATATGTTCATGCACACTAATGTTTGTACTGTGCGGGAATCGAACCCGCAACCTCCGGAATAGTAGTTCGTTTCGAACCACTACGCCAAACGGCCGTATTACACGAACATTTTTATATTAAACTAGCTGACCCGGCGAACTTCGTACCGCCTTAGCGTAGAGATTTTCTTAATATTTTTTTCCGTAAGAACCATCCTTGGACTTCCACAAACATTTTAAAAAAAGAATTATCGAAATCGGTTCAGCCGTTCACACGTGATGCCGTGACAACGCGAAACGGGTTTCATTTTTATATACAGGGTGGAAACGTTAAGTGATCTCACTCAATTATTTCTAAACTATACAAGATATCGAAAAACTGATTAATGATTCTGAAAGTGCTTTACAAGCTCTTTCAAATGGTACCAATAATAGGTTACAGAATAAACTGGATCTATCCGAAAATTCAATTTTTCTAGCTTCCATACATTTAGTAAAACCACATAATATTAGAAACTATACAAGATATTCAAAAACTGGTTACTGATCCTGAAAGTGCTTCACGAGCTCTATCCAACGGTACCAATAATAGGTTATAAAATAAACTGGATCCATTCGAAAATTCAATGTTTCCAGCTTCCATACATTTAGTACAGCCACAGTAATGGCACTCATGTCTTGTTAATATTATAGCAAGTAAAGTCTAAAACCAATGTTTTCGAAGAATAATTTTAAATAAGAACGCAATTACGAGTTCATTTTAAGTGTTTATTATTTAATAAAAAAAATTAAATACTTCTATTATTGTTTGGTTGGCAATTTGGCATACATTTAGTATGGAGGCTGAAAACATTAAATTTTCGGATAGATCCAGTTATTTCTGTAACCTAATATTGGTACCGTTGGATAGAGCTTGTGAAGCAAATTTCAGGATTAGTAATCAGTTTTTCGATATCTTGTATAGTTTAGAAATAATCGAATGAGATCACTTATCGTTTCCACCCTGTATACAGTGTGTCCGGGCATGTAGTGATCAAACTTTAAAGGCGTAATCTATGGATAATTTTATCGATGAAAATACTTCAAATTTGGGGCCTGANCACTGTTTTGGCCACCCTGTATAACCTATGACACTCAGCAATAATGTGGCTTTCTATTGGTGAAAGAATTTTTACTATCGGTTCAGTAGATCCCGAGATTACCCCTTACAATTTAACAAATATACAAACACACAAACTTTACCTCTTTATAATATTAGTATACCTAGATGACATCCAATATTGTTTGAAAAATAAAACTGACCAAACTAGGTGAGAATAATGGCTGTGAATTGAATACATTGGGAATTTGTTTACTTTTAATTGATAAGTTGGTGCCATAATTATATGCCTTAAAGCAGGAATGGCGAACCAATGGTACCTACACAAACAATATTTTCATTTTCAACATGCCGATGATCACAAAGTTTACAACAAAATAAAATATCCCAAATGAAAGTTTTTTGTATTATTAAACAGTGTTTTAAATTAATAGTACTTGTTAAGTATTATTTGATAGTATGTTTTATGGCATCACTCAAAATTTTAGTGAAAATGGCACATCAATACAGAACCCTTTAATAATTGTGAGATTTATTTAATGCTATAGGACTTCATTTTTTAGAGTCAACAAACTGAAAACCACATAAACCTAGAAAGAGGAAAATGAATTCAATTTATTTTGTGCACCTTTGATAAAAATAGGAAAATATTTCACAACAATATAAATACGATTAATAAATGATAAAGATGTTACAATATATTAATTACTATTACAATTTTATTTCCACACTATGTATACTTTTTTGTACATTGGAATGTATAATCAATTAATGGTAAAACATTACAATGTTTGGGAGAATAAACAAACTAAGATACAAACTCACCCAACACTGCCAGCACGGCGCTTTTGAATATCCTTTGCTGGGTCAGCCCCTTTAACAATAACATTTATTTACAGCTACTTTAGAAAACTATGAGTAAGTGACATGAATTTAGCACTAACCTAGCCACATTAAATTAGGCTAGATAATTAAGTGAAAACACAGTTTAGAGACACACTATCACACTATCATAAACTAACTGCTTAGTTCTTCAATGTAATTAATATTTTAAGTGTATTCTAATTCAAACAACATAATAAGCAAAGCTGTGTAATTAATCACAATCCATTAAAAATGGGTTCTCAAATGAAAATTATGCAACTGTATCAAACTAAATATTGTTCAAGGCTATTTTTAAGGTAAGCAAATATGTAGAATTGATATGGTGGTAGTTTATCTTAATATACAACACGGTGATTCAAGAAGATTACCAGCAAAAACAATAAATTTATAAAGGTAAGTTTTAATTTTGTATCACACAAAAGTAAATTTTATTAATCAATTTGAGATGTTTGTAAAACTTACATATCACAGCAAAATAAAGGTAGTGCTTTCATTTCATAATTTCATCAAAGGTGCAAACAGCGTGAATTCAAATGAATGGTCTTATTTACTTGGTAGATTTCTTTAAAATGTTTATTTATCGATGAAAATACACGTAGATTCTTGCGTCGTGTTAACAACGCGTCACGCAGAGCAACGTCAAATTGTACGAAAAATTAGGTCGCAATGTGACGTAAAGAATATACATAAATGTAATAAAAATACGCAATCATTTCATATGCTTATCACATTCAAAATTAGGTGTATTTAAAACAAAAGTATCAATTTTAAATAATTTAACTTAGTTCCTGGAACAAAAATGCTAGTACTAACCGGGGATAGTGGGAGCCACGGCAGACATCGGTCAACAAACTCATTAGTTCACTTTTTAATATCACTATCTAGTGTTATAAAATAAGAAGTCTTGACATACAATTCTTTGGTTGTAACAATGAATACACAACAGTGTTTATTCTTTACTCTCGATCACACAGGAGCACAACACACGCCATTTTTCTTGGTTCTCAGAAATGTTGCCACTTTTTAGGTGTCATTTCGCAACTTGCCAGAGAAAAAAACTTTTGATGAAGGACAAAAGGGTTATTGGCTATTTTTATCTGGTTATCAACTAAACATTTCATTACGTTTAGCGAAAAAAAAAATTTAACACTTTTAACCTCTTGCGCTCTAAATAAATGTAATTTTCATACTACATTATTTGGCGATTTTAAGAAATTTTGACTTGCATTTACTGTACAAAGAAGAAATGATAAATCCTCTAAGCCTCTATCCAGACTGTAAAGAATCGCAAAAAAAAATATTAAAAAAATATATACTTCCGGCTTCCGGTCACTCTAATTAAAATTTTAATCAGGTGCAGTTTTTACACAGTTTCTAATACTGTGGTTTTTATGTTCTGATTTTAATTTTAGATTAAGAGTAGGACTTAGATTAATAAGGAGTAGGATTAAAAGCCAATTATTAAACACTCGTTGGCGATTGTAAATTATACTACTATAATTTTCACACCACTTCATTTTCACTTAGTTGATATAGGATCTACCAGCCAAAAAAATCCTAAATCTATACTTTAACCACAGCTGCAGTCTGCCAACTTATTATCTTCTGGGATCTTCGGTAATATCAAAGAGGAGGTCCATTTATCCTGCACTTCGCTTGCCGAACCTACCTAACTACCTACTGAGTAAGTAGCCTACTCGTTAACTTATTTTACAATGACATTGTACCGCATGATGTCGCAACGAGATCATAAGAAGCATATAAAACCATTCCATAACTTAACGAACGGTAGTCAATAGGTCTTATTTAACTTATTCTGAAACGTTATTTTACTGTCCATGTTCCACGTCTCAAATCATCATTAGTAGGCAGGGGGAGTCCGGGAGAGTTTCCAAATGCTGCCCAACCAGCTGCTCTCGTTTCAACGATTTACTAACGCTCAATTTTTTCTACTGTAGTATGTACCTAACTACCTTTCCCATAACACATTGTTATGAGGATTTCAAATTCATTTTTTTTCCGAATGACCATCTGGATTTACTGAACACAACTAAAAAAAAATAAGTTACATTTCAGCCAGATTGATTATATGATTTATTCGCATGTAAGAAATATACAACGTGTCCCAAAATTCAAGGATAAGCCGGCGCCGCAGGATGGATATAGTCATGACTACTTCAGGAAAAATAAGAAAAAAAATCTATCTCAATTATTTTTTAAGTTACACAATAAATTATGAAATTCGTCGAAAATTGACACCCCTTATGATATTTTACATTATCACGACTACAATTTTTCAAATACTTCTGTTTTTTTGTTTGTATTGGCAACTTAAGTAGTGCTGCTGTCCACTCCAATTCTTAAAACCCCCAGAATCCTTGCAGTTTTTACACAAAAGTTAATCAAAATATGATATTTCCTTAAAATTTTAAACGATTTTTACTTTAACTCCACTTTGAATCGTCGTTTTGTAAAAAAACAGTATGAACACTACTGCGGCAAGTTTTTTATAAAGTTGACGCAATTATCCAAGATTCCAAAATGGTATAATACTCTAAGAAAACTAGTCGCAAAAAAGATATGCGTACCATTTTTACAAGCACTTCGCTTGTTAGTAGTATGGGATAAATCTTGCAACTAAATTTAAAACCAGTTCTCCTCAACCAATTGAGCTGAAATTTGGTATACTTATGTAAGTACGATGACAATGCAATATTATGGTATCATTGAGCTGGATGGAGTCTGGAGGTGGCCATAGGAACTTCTAAATGAAACGGCGGAATTGCATCTAGTTTAGGTTCGTTACATTTGTCTTTTCAAGCACTTTGGTGGATTGCACCTCGCGGAGCGCCCCGCACAACTGACAAATAAGCCGTTGTTATGCGCGGAAGCAGGGGGAACGTAGCAAGTGGTACAATGACACTAAACGCCCTCTCTCGAAAAATAGTAAAACTAACACCGTGGCGTTTTACCACTTTATAAATTATACACTCTTAAACACTTAGGCCGTAAAAACTCAATTTCGCTTTTTTGGTAAATGTGCCATTATACTGCTAGGTGAGCGATATGTAGCCTACTCGTTAACTTATTTTACAACTAGCTTTTCGCCCGCGGCTTCGCGCGCGTGGACATCTACCTACATATTTTACGGAACCCTATTTTTTTACAAAATAAAATTTAGCCTATGTTACTCGTGGATAATGCAGCTTTCGAATGGTGAAAGAATTTTAAAAAACGGTCTAGTAGTTTTTGAGCCTATACAAACAAACAAAGTTTTCCTCTTTAATATTAGTGTAGATGACATTGTACCGCATGATGTCGCAACGAGATCATAAGAAGCATATAAAACCATTCCATAACTTAACGAACGGTAGTCAATAGGTCTTATTTAACTTATTCTGAAACGTTATTTTACTGTCCATGTTCCACGTCTCAAATCATCATTAGTAGGCAGGGGGAGTCCGGGAGAGTTTCCAAATGCTGCCCAACCAGCTGCTCTCGTTTCAACGATTTACTAACGCTCAATTTTTTCTACTGTAGTATGTACCTAACTACCTTTCCCTTAACACATTGTTATGAGGATTTCAAATTCATTTTTTTTCCGAATGACCATCTGGATTTACTGAACATAACCAAAAAAAAAAAATAAGTTACCTACATTTCAGCCAGATTGATTATATGATTTATTCGCACGATCGCACGTAAGAAATATATGTATGTAGGTATGTCTAGTAGGCTAACATGTAACTGTAAGTAGTAGTAAGTATAACAGTGAAGATGTCGGAGTTCGCGGGTTCGATTCCCGCTGCCGCTCTACTCAATAAGTTTATTGCTTCCATAATATTCCTTAGAAAAAGAAATAAAAATAATAATTTTACTACTCAAATACATTTCTGTGCCTATAATGTGTAGGATTGAACAGGTTTTTTTTGTAAAATTTGAACATCATGCTCATGGGTTTTGTAGCATTCGAGCAGTAGAATCCATCCCCTTTGAGCACTCACCAATAAAACACCATGTACAGTTAAGTCTAAAATCTAAATTAAAAATTAACCAGTTTTGATATTTGACTGATATGATTTTCAATTGTTTAAAAATAAAGTCCATTTGACATAATATTTCATCCCTTTTTACTGACTTTACTGAAATAGAACAATGTTTACATAAATTTACTGAATTCAAGATAAATTATTTTGTGTAATAAACAATCCGATAAGAGAATATTAGAAAACATGGACGGCGAACCAGAAGCGTTGTCTGATACCGCAACAAACTGTAATTTGGGGTCTGCATCTGAAACCTTATCCGATGTAAATCAGGCAAAACTTGACTCACTGGAAAAAAAAGCAGTTCACTTAAGGTTATTGTGTGATAGTGAAATTTAAAAGAGATTGCTATGTTACTTAACTTAGGCAGTTAAACATTTTTGTTATTTCATACAGATTAGTTCTGGAAAAGGATTTTAAGGCAGCTGATATCAAGTGGAGTTTATTTGTAGCTGCCGCTTTTAGTTTTCGATATGAAAGTTGTCTCAGACCCTTTCCTCCAGCCTTCATGAAAAATGGCATCAAGGATATGGACGAATTGGTAAGCAACAGTAACAGCTATACCCCCCCTCCATTACAAGCAGAAGCTAACCAATCGTCTTACTAAAAAGTTCGAAGTCTGTGTGTAGTAGGAATTACTTACATAAACTTAATTCCTTAGTCGCTCTTATCGCCCTAGTAGCTGCTGTTAAGTGCGATTTGATTTTTTATTTTCAGCTAAGTGTAATCACGGATGTTCCAGCCTTGGACCTAGTTCTGCAGCAATTGGACAACCTAGAAAACTTAACTAATATTAGCGACATTATTGATCTTTTATTCTACGTGCTCGTAAGATTAAAAGAACCAACACTGAAAACTATTCCTCAGGAAGCGGTTTGTACCTAATACCTATCCATTAAATTGTTTAGCAACCTAGGTCTTTTCAGAGGGAAATTTTAAGTAGGTACTTTAATAGATTGCCGATACATAAATATTTATGCTAGTCTTTATTTTACAGCATGAATCAGTCTTATCTAATGCACATCCCAGCTTTGCGAATACACCAAGGCCCCAATATGTTTTTCAAGTGTGTAATTCACCGAAGTCTACCGCAGAAGCGAAATGGAAAGAATTAGCAAGAAACCATCACACTTTTTATGCATATCATGGAAACAGATTAGAAAACTTTTATACTATAATGAATTTTGGTCTTCAGCAACATTTAAATAAGGCAAGATAAAATAACACACCTGGTAAAAAAGTGTCAGGAAATGGCATGTGTGGCCTACCTATCTAATTTAAATGTTTATTGCAGAATACTTTATTGGGTAACGGAGTATATTTATCCACTGACTTAAACATAAGTCTGCCCTATAGCCACGGAGGTTTCGGTTGGGGCGCAAGTTGTATCGGAGGGCACTTGTCCTGCATAGCAATGTGTGAAGTTATTGATGCTCCTGAAGGAATTAATTACCAGAAACCTGTAACCAATGAAGGCGAGTGTTTTGTTAGGGTTTTGCGACAAGGTGGAGTGTTTAAACGATAAAATCCAAACAAACATTGATAAAATTACTATTGCGTCGTCGTTGAGATAGGTTTTGATTCTTACGCGGAAATCAAGAAAGTAGGTTAGTTGAAAGAAAATACTAGAAAGTAAGTAAAGAAAATTTTAAACGTTTTCAGGTGATGGCATATACGAAGACGAAAAAAGCAAGATTCTTGATACTGGTTTGGAAGGGCAAAATCTTTCTCAATACATCGTGACAAACTGTGACTTGGTTAGACTAAGATATCTGTTAGTTTACGCAAAGCAGCCTGCATCGATGCGATTTCCTACCACAAATCCTAACGGACGAAATGGTAAGCACATTATACAGTGTGTCCGGGCATGTAGTGATCAAACTTTATATGCCAAATCTAGGGACAATTTTATCGATAAAAATACTTCAAAGGGGCTTGTTGACCCATTTATCGCAAAATTACAAGGATTTA